GTATATACTAGTAGTAAAGGAGAGGAAGAGGATGAAGAAAGGTGTGAATGATGCTTTGGTTCTTTAGGTCTCTGAAAATTTGATTAAATTTTGCAACAAAAAATAATTGCTTATGATTTTTTTCCCCTCTTTTTATTTGCTTTTGCATTAATCATAACGTACCACAAGATTTAAATCTCTTTAATTATATGCAAACGTACGTTGAAGGTAAGTGCTGCTCTACTCTTTAATTAATTTATGTTAACTTATTCGGTTACATGCATGCATCCATCCTAGTATACATTCCAAAACAATATTTTTATGTTGTCATGTTGATTAGTTATGCTTTATTTATTATTATTTTTTCCTAAACTGATCATAACCTTTCTTAAACTTAAAGTCATTTAAGAATTAATTCGTTCATGCACTTTTAAATTCAGTTTTAATTTCCCATGCTTTACTATATATGGAATCAAGTTTTTTTTTTTTTTCCCCTTGAATTCCTACCATATTTTGCATATAAAAACTAATGAAATAATTAGTTAAAAATACTCTTGAATTCAACAACATTCAACCTAATTAAAAAAAAATTTCATAGAATTAATTTTAAATTTTGAAAATAAAATTTATATCAAAATTTTAATTTCGATATAGAAATTTTGGTTTTATTAAAAAAAAAATAAAGAAGAGATTTTAAGGCTATTAATTTATTTTTTTAAAAAAATATCATCTTTTCTCATAAATTTTTTTATATTTTTTCTCTACTTATTTCCTCTTTTTTATTTCTTAAAAAAATAAAAATAAATTGAAAAAGAACAAAAAAAAATTAAATACTAAATAACTAGTTTTTGAAACAAAAAGAACTAATCAATTTATTCTCAAAAAGTAACACATAAAAAAAAAGACTGAGCAAATTATAAATTAGTCCTTCTCGTTTCAAAAAATGAATTAATTAGTTCTTCATTTTTCAAAAATTAATTATTTAATCATTTTAACATGTTTTGACTATGACTAATTTAATATTTTTTATTTTATAAAATGTCTTTTTTTTCATCAGTCTTTTCATGTTTTTTACTTTTTTTATTCTTTTTATATTTCTTAAAACAAAAAATCAAAATAAATTAAAAAATAACAAACATGACTAAATAATTAGTTTTTAAAACTAGAGGGACTAATTAGTTTGTTTCTCAAAGAAAGAGGGACTAATTTATAGTTTACTGAAACCAGAACAGGTGACTTGGAAAAAATAAATAAAAACAGCTGCTATCATCTGGACAGTGCAATGGTGGTTCTAACGTTACCCTTACTAAAGAGATTTGGTGATTAAATTATAAACTAGTGCCTCTACTTGGAAAATGGATTAATTAGTCTTTTTTATTTCAAAAATTAATTATTTAATCTTCATATTTTTAAATCTATTTATAAATTTGTTTTTTTTTCATTTATTTTAATTTTTTAGTTTAAGAAATAGAAAAAAATATAGAAATATTGATGAGAAAAAAAATTATGGAATAAAAGTAATGTTAAATTAAGAATGGCCAACACTGTGAAAGAAAAGAAAACCTAAATAATATTTTTTAAAATAAAAAAATTAATTAATTTGTTTTTTAAAGCTAGAGGAATTAATTTATAATTTACTCGAGATTTGAGAGACTACTCCAGCGCACAAAGGTTTGTGAAAATTGACCATATCTACAGAGAAAGGTTACACATTAGCCAATAAAGGAATGGAGTTGGAGAACTGCGCAATTTATTTTCTAGATCCTCCTGGCTTTTACGAATTTTACAGTCTTCCTTGTTGTCGTTATTATTATTATTGTGCAAAGATTTTAGATATTAAAAAAAAAAAACTAAAGTAACATTATTCATCCAAACTCATTTCTATTAGTCACACAGACTTATATGAATTATTTTTTTCACTATACATTATATTTTTGTAGTTTTCAAACCTTTTAAATGTTTTTATTATAAATTTTTTCTTAACATTACATTTTTGTCTCTCTTTATAAGCATTATTTTTTCGATCCATAATTTTTTTTATTTCATTCTAGTTCTTTTTTTTTATTTTATTTTGATCATTTTGATCCTTGTTTTTTGTTTTATCTGATTTTTTAAATTAAAAATTTTAAGATAAAAAGATATTTAGAAAAAAATAATTTACAAAATAAATTTTTAGCTAAGAATTCATTAACTTTGACATTTTCTTTTTTTATTTTATTATAAATTTTTTTAATTAAGAATGTGGATAAAGATAAATAAATAATATTTTTTAATAAAAAATTCATGAAAAATATAAAAATTAATCAATCAAATATAAAATTTTGATTAAAAATTAATAAAATTAAATAAATTTTTATTCAATTTTGATTTGATATTTTGATAGGTACTCAATATAACACATGGTATGAAATTAAAATAATTTTATATATTATATCTGATATGTAGCATAACACGAGAGAGAGAGAGAGAGAAAAAAAAAAAAACCTAGTTTGCACGGGAAGAAATGAAGATTTATTACATGAGTTTCAAAATAGAAAAGCATTATTTACAAAGAAAAGACGGAGGGCGGGGTTAAAATGCAGAGTACGCACTGAAAATATATTTTTTTGTATTTGCTACAGTCATACTGCTTTTATTTAACCAACAAAGAGGGGAGGTTCGATTCAAATTGTACCCCTCTCTTCTAGGTTGGCAGTTTAGCCTCTCAAGTTTCAAGTGAGTGGCAATTAGTTTTGTGAAAAAAAAAAAAAAAAGATCAGACACAGAGTGACTTCTAAATATCCTAAAACGCCACAGGTTTTTTCTCCAACACTGGCAAAGCAGAACGTTTTAAACTTTCAATCAACCTCCACCCTCAGAATCCTGAACAGGGGCCACAGCCAGCTAGAAGGCAGTATAGGCTAAGAGCTTCAGTAGACAACAGCATACAAGGAAAAAGCAAAGACCAAAATGGTAAAAAGTGACGTTTATGAAGCTCATTCTTCTGTTTCTTTCATTTGGTCTCTAGGTGTTCTCAGAAGATAATAAGGAATCACGAAGGACAAGATGAAGACAAACCCTATATGATCACTCTAGCTTGGTTCTAATTCCAATCTAATGATTGTATTGCAATTATGCCTCTGGATAAGTATGAAATGCAGACACTGGCTTCCATGAATAGTCTGGTCAAGAAGACAACATAAGACTAGATTTTGAAGGGACCTATTCACAGGAGAAGGAAAATGCGTTCGTGAAACACACATATACATAAAACGAACATCGGAAGTAAGTGTAAAGTGAAAAAGTAGAAAGGTTCTTGGAAGTAAGGATAAAATAATGTCTGTAGCATGATGATCTAATGCCATACCTGCAACTATCACCACTGGTTCAATTGCTTGAGGGTTACGACACAACCAAAACAAGTATAAAGGGCTATCAGTCAAATTTTCCCAAGAGAAGAAATCCCATTAACCATCCTAATTCTCACATCACATAAAAAGCAACAGGTACTTGCTTCTCAATATTAGTTGAGAGAAACACTTTATGTAGGATTATGACCCACATGAAAGAAGCTAATGAACGAAAACAAACAAATTTTCCACAATTTTTCATGATTATCAAAACCTAAAACTGCCCAACTATGCTAAAACAAGGCCATAAAAAGTTAAAAAAAAGCAGCATTCTGGCAATGGAAATGGAATAATACAGTTTTTAGCAATGCACACAATCAGTGGAAGATCAAAGACAAACGGAGAAGGCATCTTGTTGCCCCCAGACAAAATAATTCTGTCACTTAACCCACACCAATCATCTCAAAATGAAAAGGAAAACGAAAACAAGATAAGCACGTTTGAACATAAGGAAAGCACAGGCCGACAGTCAGCATATGGCTCTGCATGACAAAGCAAATTAGCCATATCCATGAATGGGAAACTTCAAAGCATCTGATTACAAGAAACATATTCAGATTATGACAAAACTGTGTGGTTCCACTTGAATTTAACCAATAATAAGTGCTCTGAATGTGACTATTCAAACAAAACAAAAACTTCTATTGATCCAGTGAACAGACCATTTCAAGAGAACAAGCACTAATGGAACACTACCAAACATATGTGACAGTGAGTTAAAACAAGGAAGCAAAGAAAGCAAAAGCAAGAGGCACAAGAAAAAACATTAATCAGTGGCATTTGACAAGAATCTGTGCACCTCCATGTCAGTTTTGTAGAATTATCTGCTCCATCCCATAGAGACTCCACTAAAGCTATATAATTTTACTCTATCGTATAGCATCCCAAAATAAAGCCACGCAGCAACTTCAAAATTCAAGTAAAGATAAATACAACTTGCATCAAGTAAGCTACCAGCTATAGGCATAATTCTCTTCGAATTGAAACAAATCAACTCCTAACAACTCTATAACCATCTCCTCCCTTATTATCCAATCAAGCACCCACTGAAGTGGGATAGTAAAAGAATTGGATTTCAAGATAGTTCAACACTTCATCTTTACTGCACACTATTTTCATCTCTCAATTGTTGAGAGACTGAAACCTTGTGATGGCCCCAAATGAATCACCACACCAAACCTACAACTATTCAATTATTTCAATCCTTTGCCTATTAGCAAAGTCGCAAAGTAAAAATCTGTTTACAGCAATCTTCAGAAAGAAATGCAATGAAAAAACTAGCACTTAACAACCAAAACAAAGGCACAAACAAACAATAACATTCAACATTACATTCCATTAATTTTCAATAATCATTTCCTCCCTCGACATACATTTCAATTTCACAGCAAAACTAAAAACTCTCAATCCCCATATCAAGAAACTAAAAGATTGGCAATTAACCATGTATTCAATTAGCATATTTTTCAAAGCACTGTACAAATCCACAAAAACCTAACTCAATGTACCCCTACTAACAACATAATAAAAACATACCATATTCTCCTTTTTCCGAAACCGAAATCTCAGTCCAGGTTAGATGCCAACACAAATTACACTAAAACACTAATCAAAAACCCACAATTTCTCCACTCAGGCATAAACACTGCATCGCCTAGCACCACCAGTCAAGTTCCCAGATCCTCCAGCTCTCGAAAACCCAACCGGCACATCATCACAAGAAATCCTAAGCAACCTTCTTCTTGCTCTAAGCCCACCAACCTTAAACCCCGCATCAGCAAGAACCCTCAAATTAAAACTCACCAATCCACGCCCTTTATCCCCATTAATCTGATTCGCTACCCGCCCATCAATATAAGAACTCAACGCCCCATATTCCGCGTTGATATCAGTAACATTCTTTTTGCCCTGTTTGAACGGCGGAATCCTCGTCTGAGACAAAAGCTCTGATTTATAATAAATCGAACTCCGCAGCTCATCGTACGAGATCTTCAGCTTCTTGTTGGGATTATAAGCCTGAAACCTAGCGTTCCAGTCACCAGTCACACTGGAGGACGAAGAGGAGACATTGAAGTTAGAGACAGAGAGAGAGGTGATGCGGAATTCAGGGAGGTGTGGTCGGATAACGAGCCAGCAAATGAAGAGTATCGTGAAGAAAATGACTGCGAAGATTATTAGAGCAGCGATTAAACGGCGGAGGAGGGTGGCGCGTTGGTTAGGGTAAGGTTGGTTGGTGCTGTAGTAGTAAGGGTTAGTGGGTTGTGGAGGTGGTGGGGCTTGGTAAGGATAGGCGTTGCCAGTTGGTGGTGGTGGATGGTGGATGCCGTTTGGGACGAAAGGGTATCCGGTTGCTGGTCTAGAAGGGTCTGATGATGCCATGTTATTCGGCTTTTTCCCACTTTTGAGTCTAAAGAGTCTTTCTTGCTATTTTAAGTTTGGAATATTGAGAGAGCGGAGCGAGAGGAGAGAGCAGAGAGGGAGATATTTTTTCGGAGCTTGTGTTTTGGGGATTATGTTAATGGGCTGGGCTGGTATATATATTGGATAAAGGGCAAAATTGTGGACCGACTAGTATTAGATGGGAAGTTTTTAAGGTAAACAACATTATAATTATATTTCCCAAAAAAAAATATAAAAAAACATTATAATTATATAAAAAAAAAGAAACAATTTTATTTTCTTTCCGTTTTTATTGGTATTATTTGGATTGGTGAGGGAGAAGTGAAAATCAGTTTTCTCTCAAAAAATTGAAAGAAATTAAAATCAATAAGAGCAATTGGATTTAAAAATTTACGGAAAGAGGATCGTTTCACTTATATGGCTAAACAAGTGCGAATGTAATTCGTGTGCCTATTTCTTTTTCATTTGTTTAATGTTCAAGATATTTTCTATCATTTTGCATTTTAATCGAAATTAAGTTTTTTCGATGACTTTAAGAAAACATCTTTTATATACATTTAGAAAAATTTAGTGCGCCGAGTGCACCTTTTGACTTAAAAAGATTTAAAAAGTAAGCTTTTTTTTTTTTTTAATAACAAAAAACAGATTTCTGGAAGCTCAGCTGCAAAATTTAAGAAAAGTTGATGTTAAGTAAGTACGTACAACAAATAATGACTGTTTCTTTGAATGTCACAGCAAAATCTAAAGATTTTTTTTTCTTGTGGGTAAAAAAATGGGTTTGAATTAAAATTAAGAGACTTAAGATGATAAATTACAATCAGGAGAGGAAAAAAGTAGACATCCAGTGAATAAATATGAGTTGGGATCAAGACTTATTGATGTAATGCTATGTTAAGGAAAGTAGTGTGAATGCAAACACTGCACCATTGAAAGGGAATGCTGATGGAGCCAAATGTGCAAAAGTGACGAGTAGAGATGATCTATCTTGTCACAAAAAGAATATTGTACTAAGGAAAAGGAAATGCGAAGTTAGTGGATTTATTAGAATTAACAGAGCTTGAATTATAAATAAAAAAAAGTAAAGAAATATGGGGGGTGCCCATGAGATTAAGAATGCTAGGAGTCAATGATAAAAAATGAAAATAAATCCTCATCGATGCATTGATGGAATGTAATTGATGCTTGGATATAGTACTTAAGAGGTAAATAATGGTGGGCATATGATCAGCAGGTGCTGCTCTACTCATTGCAGTAATAAATCTTCTCCTAATAAATAAAATAATGCAATTGCCATATCCTTAATTGGAAGTTAAAAAAAAAAACTCATTTCCATGCCGATTCCCTTACCATGCTTGTAATAAACAACTCATAATCAACCCAAAAATTGGACTACAAAGATTCTTCTTTCTTTTCTTAGAACGGACTATATCAAGAATTTGAATGGCTAAAACGAGCAAAAATTGGCATATCCGTGTAAGTAATTGCAGGAAATTAAGCATGAAAAAGGTCATAAAAAAAACTAAAGAAAATAACAATTAACAGAACATCTAATCCAGATCTAATCCAGAACCCTTAAATTATGGCCCAAAACACAAAACCCCTGTGCCCTATCAATCCCCTGTATATGCTTGATATTGATAAAATCAAATCCTAAAAAGATTAATTGCAGGACTAATTCTGATCAAATCAGCAAATACAGACCCTAAAGTGAAACAAACAATATGAACAAAACAATTGCCACAACATAAATGTAATTCCGAAATATTCTGCTGCATTTAGTCACAATTCTTTTCCACTGCCCATTGACGCCACATTCACTAGAACCAAACACCAATGTTGTCACGTTTGAAGGAAATTCCACCTTCACGTTCTCATGACACGTTGCCTTTAGCGAATCCTTCTCTACAGGCCACGTCCACCTTCCATACTTTGCCTTAGCATGCAACTCCATTGTCAAATTGACAGCTCCACCGCTAGAAGAATTCTCGTTAATCTGAAAAAACAAGCTAGGAAACACAGCCTGTAATGTTTTTCGGGTTTTCCCAGGTTGTTGAAAGGGTGGAAGAGTAATACTAGAGAGACTTTCAGTCCCATCGAGCACCAAGGCCACGATTTTGTCATAGGACAAGGTTTTACTATTTGGGTTTTCTGTGGAGAAGGTAACGTTAAGGTTTGCGGTTATGGTGTTAGAGGAGACATTAATGATTGTTAGGGAGGAGGAACTGATATTGAACTGAGGGATTTCAGGTTGAAGAGTGATTATGCCACGAGTTATGACAGGAACAGAAACAATTAGTATGAATGACACTGTGATGAAGAGAAGGAATATGCAGCAATCGTATGCTTTGGCTTTCGCTGTGTCAGTTTCGGGGTTTTTGGTGGTGGTAGAGCTGGAGGTGGTGGGGAGATCGCTTGGTTGAGACATGGGAGGTTTTTTGGCGGAGAGTGGGGGTGTGGATTTTCTGTAGTTGTGGTTTTATCACGCAATTGGGTTTCCGTTTGTTTTAGGAATATTTCAAGAGAAGGGAGTTTGTTATGGTTATTTCAAGGTATTATAATTATTATACATTCAATTTATAAATTATTAAATAATTTTATTAAAATAACGCCATCGTGATGGGGAGAAATGGCCCATTATATGGTGAAGTATGGGCCCATATTTGCCTTTCTTTTCATTTATCCGAGAGCAACAAAATTCATATCATCCAGCAAGTGATGGGTTGCTAGAACACTAATGCCTATTTCATTATTGAATATGACAGGTCAATATTAGAATTTGATCTTAAAATTATTTTATAAAAAATTAATTTTGATCGATATGCAAACTGAAAATATTTATTATCATAGAATAAAAAGACAAAGAAGTTAGATTGTGATATAATGATTTTTATTAATTGTTTTATTTAAATATAATATTTTAATTAAAAGAGTATTGTTAAATTCTACCATAATATTTTGTTATTTCTATCAAGAATTTTATTGTAAATTACCAACATATCACTATCACATTAAGTTAGTGATCAAATAGTAACTAGATGTAAGGGTTTGTCATTAATTTACAATAGAAAATTCGTGAAAATAACAAAACTTATTATGGGTTTAGCAATGCCCTAATAGAAATCGACATTATTTTGATGTGGATGTTTTAGATTTTTATGAAATTATGATACTTATACTTAAAAAAAGTTAGCTACAAAGTAGTAGTCTATTGATTAAAAAATATCTACTTGTGAGTCAAATTTAGAATTTGATTTTTATGATCGGTATTTTTAAAAATATATCTAGAGAGTATCCTTTAATCATGTCTAAAGAAAAATTAGCTTTGAAGTATGTGAAAATTAGCCTAAACCTTAAAAAAAAAAAATTTGTAGGGTACATAATTTTTTAAAAATAGTGGGGTATATTAATTACCGAAAAAAAAAAAACAAAACAAGAAAGAAACATATAGCTACAGGTAAGATAGGAAATCCTGAAACAAGATGGAAATTCTAACCTGAAACAACAAGGATCGTGGCCTATTTTCCCTTAGGAATCTCACATTCTAATATTCTATTACCCCATATAAGTCCAGTCTGCCCTTGCTGTATGATCACATCAAATCTTCCTCTTGTTCTTTTTCTTCTTTCTAAATGGCTTCTCATATTCAGATGCTCCTCACTTTGCTGCTTCTTCTCTTCATGGGCTCAGGTAAAAACCTTTCCCTTGCCTTCCTTATTAATTAATCTGTTGTGTTTTAGTTTTTACAATAATGTTTATAACGTTAATTTGATTCCTATATAGGTGTTCTGTCAATAACTTTCACATTAGTCAACAACTGCAACTACACAGTCTGGCCTGGAATTCTCTCAAACGCAGGCGTCCCACAACTCTACACTACAGGCCTAACTCTCCAGCCAGGCCAATCAGAAACTCTATCAGTTCCATTCTCCTGGGGAGGCCGCCTATGGGGTCGAAGTTTCTGCACCCAAGAGCCCTCAGGCAAGTTCACATGCCTCACCGGCGATTGTGGCTCATCTACGGTAGAGTGCTCTGGCAATGGTGCTGCATTGCCTGCTACCCTTGCCGAGTTCACTCTAAACGGTGCTAACGGGCTCGACGTCTACGATGTCAGTCTTGTTGATGGCTATAACCTCCCTATGCTTGTTACCCCACAAGGTGGCCAGACTGGACAAGGAAAGTGTACGTTCACTGGCTGTATTAAGGACTTGAACCCTTCTTGTCCTGCAGAGCTTAAGGTTGCTGCCAATAATGGAGAGAATGTTGTGGCATGTAAGAGTGCTTGTTCTGCGTTTGGTGACCCGAAATATTGTTGCTGTGGGGCATATTCGAATCCTGATACTTGCAAACCCACATCTTACTCTGAAATCTTCAAGACTGCCTGCCCGAGAGCTTACAGCTATGCTTACGATGATCAGACCATTACTTTTACTTGTGCTGGTGCCGATTATGTTATCAGTTTCTGCCCTTCCCCTTCCTCTTCCACTTCCTCCAGGTAATTTAACTACCTTCTATATTAAGATTTAATTAGTGTGTTAATGTGAAAATCTCTCTTAAACAAGTTATTGGTTGATTGGATTGTCATTTTAATTGAAAATTGTGGTTGCAGCTCTGCAGCTACACCCATCGTCACCCCAAGGCAGAAGTCCGGGAAAATACCTGGTCCAGAAGATCGAACACTCGTCTTTGCTGGTTCTCATGGTATATCATTACACTCCATTGGTGGTGCCATCATTACTGTAGCAGCAATGTTGCAACTGTGCCGGCTAGTTTAATCGTGCCAAAGATGCACACAAAGAACATATAGTGTTAGCTAGTTTTTTTTTTTTTTAATGGATTAGGATATCATTAATTCTTGTTGTCTTTAAGTTCAATTCCTTAACTGGTAATTGTTCATGGTAACTTTTCACAATAAGATTAACAAAGTAGTTTTTAGATTTTTTATTTTATTATTATTATTTTTAATCCATACCTATTGTTTGGCCTTATTTTCCTCGTAGTTAACTCTGATTTTTGTAGGCCACAAATAGGATATACGTATGATAATCTGCAACATGTTTGCTGAACTGGGTCTTAATTTGTTACATTATCTGCTTTAGTATCAGAAATTACAAGGGGCAACTATTCTCAATTTGGTCCCCAAAACAAATAAGTTCCGAATTGGGTACCTAATTAACCTCTATTCAAATGTTTTCCTCTAAAATCATAAAACATAAGGACCTCTGTTTGTTTTAAATGATATGTCTTTGTCATAAATTTTAGTATCAGGGTTGATTGGATAATATTTGATAGACAGGAATCGATCGGGAATTGTTTTTGTTTGGCGATCCAATTGAGAATCATGTAATGGTCATTTGTCCTTTTCCCAAATTACAAATCATAAGAAAGTTCAGTGATCTAATTATAACTTAGTCATTCTAATTTAGAAAAACTAATTAATTAATCTTTGTATTATAAAAATAATTAAATAGTCCTCTAATCAAACATTGTCCATTGTAAGTTTTTCTTCCGAAAATAGCTTCTTTTGTTACAAAAATTTTCCATTTTATGTACTTTTTCTTTTCTTTTATTTATTCTTATCGTTTGAAAAAGAAAAACAAAGAAAATAAAATAAATTTTTAATGAACAAGAAATTGATAAAGTTTTACATGTGTCACAATTCGATCAACTTATTAACTAGGTTAGCATGGTGGAACCTCATTGGATGTGTGCTCTAATCTTATTGGGTGTTGACATAGCTCATAGCCACATCACCACTCTCCCATCCCAATCCCCATATTATATAATTTCCGTTTTAATCACTTATATACAAATTAAATAGTTTTGAGTTAAACGAGAAGAAAAAAATGTCAAATCTATTTCTTTTCTTTTGTTTCACCATGGGAGATTTTTGAGCTTTTCACTCTATCATTATGATAGCTGAGAATAGAATTCAAACAATATTCATAACTCTTAAACCCAAAAGAGAGAGAGAGACAAGAAAATCAATATATTCAATAAAAAAAACTTTATTGACGCTTACCAAAAAATAGAATTAAAAACAGCACGATAGCCGCAAGAATGAAACTTGCTACAAGCAATTTTATGACAAGTTGGCAATCTTTAGTTTTGAATAAAGAGTCTATATCCTCCTCTGCATTTGCCATTGCTAAATAATTTTGAAAATGATAAAGAGCAAGAAGACAAAATATAACAAACGTAAGGCCTTGATTGATTTGTCTGCTATTTATAGTAGGGTGTTTTTGGAGCCCAGGAAACCTGCAATAATAATGTTATTAATGTTGTTGATGCACGGGTGGATATCAAATAATCTGAGCATGCAAGCTTATTTGTGCTTTCATTTCAATATCTTTTTTCTTCAAAACATTGATATTGAAGAACCGTAAAGCCTAATTAATTAAATGTTCACTCGTAAGATAAACACAACTAAATGCTTTTTTTTTTAAAAAAAAAGTCGTGTTATCTTATAAGTATATATAATAATAATAATAAAAAAAAATTTGTTGTTGTGCTTCCTAACTCAACGATGCTAAATTGACAAATCGGGATTAATGTACAAAAATTAAAGAAAAATTTACCAACAAGTTGTTGGTCAAATAATAAGCAAATTGGTCTCCAATTAATTTTTTTAATCAATGTGCAAATTTCAAATCCTAAAATTATACTTGTTGAAAGAGATTAAATTTTATTGCTTCTGTCTTGGCTCATACAAAAAAAAAAAAAACTTATAAATTAATTTGCAAAAAGAAAAGAGATAGCTAGAAGATCATCAAAATAACGCTTAATAACAATAACTATTATAATCTCAATACGAGTTAAATAATTGAGATTGAATTTTTTTCAAAAAAAGATATATTCTTTAACACTCTTTCTCAATTGAACTTCACTTGATATGTCAAATGGCTTTACTCTCACTTGCATCTATCTTTTAGGTAATATCATATTAAAAAATTATTTAAACCCAAAACTTAAAGTTATTAGGTGAGGTTCTAGTAATGATTTTTATATTATTCTCTAACATATATTTTAATTAAAAAAATAAATAGAGATGATGAGATTAAATAGTTGAGATAACCTTAATTATCATAGCTGATGTATATATATTATTCTCCAACAATCTCCGTACAAATCACTATGTCAGCGTGCTGATTGATCCAACAATGTCCCAGTTGCATTGGTAATCAATGGAAACTTAACGTTGACACTTTTACATGTCACCTTCATGCATGTACCACTTAGCCACTTATCCTTGTTCTAAAACCGACAATCACCACTCAGTTCAAACCTAAGATTCACAGCTCCATGACTTGTTATATCCTCAACAACGTTGTTAATAACTTGCTCATCAATTTCTTCACCCAATGATAAATTACTAAACCTTACAAATATTTTTGTGGTACTGCCTTTTGGATCTTAAAGAGAAGGAGCTATTGACGATGATTCAGCCAAAACTGTGTACTTGAAAAAGACCCGTGCTCTTACGTTGTGGCAAAAGATACTTTCCCAGTTGGTGTTGGTGACAAAATTGAACATATGTATTTGTGGCCAATTCATTTTCGATGTTATTTTCTTTTTGTTCTGAAAAGGAAGCATGTGTTCTATTGGATGGACAATCGAAGGGACTAGTCCTGACGGGTAATGCCTGGAGGAGGTATGCGAGAGTTTTCGATGGTTAAGAGACTGAGTTCAGACTAGCTATTGTTGTGATATTCTTAAACGTACAGGAGCATATATATTTAGAGTTTGAATACGTATCCAGTCAAATATAGTACGTAGTACTACACGAGTCTCATCTCTAAACAACTAAATATCTTAATGTCTTCCATATCAAATGATATTGAAAAATGTAGAATGATAATTTCGAATAGAGTTTAGAAATAAAAATAATTATGATAAAAGATCGAGTAATTAATTAAATGGGTTAAAAGTTTGCAAAACGAGAAATTTTATGGTAAAAGAAGAAGAAGGATAACTTCTAATAAATCCTCCAGACTACGATGGGACTTTCAATTATATTTATCTAATTGAGCAATGTATCCTAAAGTATCACATATTTATCAACTTGGGCCCACAACCAATTTGAGATTAATAAATCCATGCATTAAAAAACATGACTACACTAATTTGGACGCCAAAGTTAAGCTCCAGTCCTACCTAATTTGTAACATATGTAACACGAATCCCAGGCTATAACTTCAAACCTTGCACCTCTCATGGATTCCTTTTTCAAGTCACTCCATTAATCTTCTTGAAGGAGACAGGAATGTGGCTTTATTTTATAAGCAAAAAGTGCGTCATGTGACAAAAACTTGTTCCTTGAAGGGATAGTTCAACTGAAACTAATTAATGGTACTGGGGACAACATTGATAAGTGTGGATACTTTTAAAGTAACATTGCTCAAGTTAGTAGTTGAGGGATGCAATTGAAAGTCGCATTATAGTTGGGGGACCTATTTGAAGTATTTATTTACATCAAGAGTGAAATATCTAGAAAAAAATGGTCATAAGTAAAATAATAATACTTATGCTAAACAACATGGTAGGGGTTACATCACACCGTTTGAATTCTATGCATCCTTGATTAGTTTTGGGCTTTTGCGTTGTCTATTTATTGAAATAATAATAATAAAACTCTACTCCCCTAAAAGTTCGAGGCTAGGAAGTAGGAGAAACATTGAAACAATTTCATTTATAACCCATTTGGCACAAGTGCATCTACCATGTCTTGGTAAGAATGCACTGATTTGGTCCACCAATCAATTTCCCCACCTTATCTTTCGAAGAAAATCCAACTTTCACATCATTGCAATATGCCTCCACAGCCCACCACACTTTTTTTGCTTCTTCATCGCCAATCCAATACCCGGCATACAAACCAATGTTGAAGTTAACTGATCCATTAGCCATCTCATCAGCCATACACTTAATCACCTTCTCACTGACTTTAACCGATTTTGCAATCAGCTTTCCATTCACAGCCGTCCAATTACTTCCCCGCACTTGAAATGGTGCAATGGTTGCACTGGCAAGCTGTTTTTGTTTATATTGAATCCATGCATCGAAGGTTTGGTAGAGAACACTTGCAGTGCCGGGATTTTGGACTGAAAATTGGATGTCCCAGGAGGCAGTGATTTCAGAGGAAGAAAGTTTGAAAGGACAAACTGAGATTGAATCAACCCGGAAGCTGGCGTTCTTAGTTGCTTTAGGATTTTTATGGAGAAGAAGTCGAAATCCCAAGGCTGCAATACCAACTAAAAGAAGAAAGCCCATCACTACGAAACAGAGACATATAGGCTTCTTAATGAGCTTTCCTCCAATTGATGGTGAAGTTGCATTGCCTCTTCTAGGTGGAGAAGACTCTGAAACAATATTGTTGTCCATGCTTGTTTTTGTGTGAGAGAGAACGCTAGCCAAAGTAGAATGAGGGATAGAGAGTTGTACACATGCAGTATATATGAAATGAAAGAATTGAGATCACGTTTTTATAGGGATGTGGAAATTAAATAAAATGGCTTACAATACTGACAACAACAATAATAAAAAGGTTTGAATTCTAGGGCGTGCATGGCAATTATTAATTATTTGTAGAAGATTCCTGAAATTTCTGCTTTAAATTACCATGAAATTACAAAGTGTTGGGAATTAATTACTTAAATTTATTTGTTATTATTTTTTTTTCCGATGATATGGTAGAATATTTGATCACACACCATAAATTCATCAAGAGTAGACAATTATGATATTTGAGAGCAATTAGATAGTTTGAATGTATAATAATGACAATTTTCTAGGTAATAGAGCATTATATTTTTTTCATAAAAAATAATAATTTTACTAATACTAAAAATAGTTCATAACTATTACAATTTTTACAAAATTTAAACAGAAATGACTTGTAATTTATTCTAATTAAGTAAAAAAGACTTGATTCATTAATAAAGTAAAAATTATAGACTTTTCAAGTAACATCTCTTCCTCTTCATTTCATGCGCTTTCAAATGAGTTATTTTAATTATTATTATTATTATTATTATTATTATTATTTACTTTTATGTGATATATATATATTTCAAACTCTTAAATCTTCTTCTACCATTTATTAGGAGAAGAACATACTTCACTCTTCGCTATCAGGTCCCGGTGGTAGAAGTAACATGTCTACAATAAAATATAAAATATTTTTCTATTGACAAATTTGACAAATTCACGAGTTGAAATCTACTTAAAATTGTAAACTTATTATATGATTTATCATAAATTTTTCAATGAAATTTCATTCTATACAAACCAACAAAAAAAAATCTCACATATTAAGAACAACAAATTAAATAAAATCACATATAAATCTAAATCCATAACTATTTAGAAGAGAGCAATTAAAAGCCAGAAAGTTATAGCATGAATAAAAGCCCGTTTTAAATTAAAACCCTACAAGAAATCGATCAATGTTCATTCTCTAACAAAGAGATTTTTACCCATTTTATTCATAGCCCCTTAGTTATGGGCCGATTATTATAAGTTATAACCCAACCTAGATTTCAACTGGACAGTTCTTGCGATTTTTCTTGTCGGATATTTGATTTATTTCATTGCACTAAATATTAATTTTCTTCTTTCTTCTTTTTCTTTTTTCTACGGGCTATTAAACGTTTCACATGTTACGGATTGCATTTGGAGTTTTTCATAATTCAAGTAAAATAACGCATAATCTGTCAAATATTCCAACACATTAATTTAAAATCAAGGATTAGACTTTCAAAAAAATATATATATATATAGAATTTCATTTCTTTAAGCTAGTAGGTGGTTAGAATGTTTTTCCAAAATCTGAATTGACAGTTATTTCATTTGTAAGGGTGTACAAATGAATGGTTTGTGAGTTATTTGAAGATCGGATCATCAAAAACTCAATTCAGATTTTATTTATTAAAGTTGGTAGCCTAATAGCTGGTTAATTTAAGTCTATTTTCAAAACTTGCTTCATAAACAATAAATCAAGTTGAATTCAGCTAAACTTGTTGGCTTAAACTCATTTCGTCGACTCAATAATACCCATGAATTATACTTATGAGTAAATTTCTTGAAAGTTCCCAGATAAGCGCATATAAAAGTTTGTATATAGTAGAAATTTCGTAAATCGTGTTAAAAAAGAAATTATTAGATATTGTAAAATATTTTACAAGTTACTTATAATTTTATGTATTTCATTAATCTTTTATTATGTTCAACTTTTTTTTTCATTCTAATAAACGTTTTATAATATGATTAAAAAAAAAAAAGAAGGTTTGAGCCAATTTTATTTAGACACTCATTAATTCATAACTATATGTAAATGTACGAATTCCTCAAAAACTTTTGATTGAGTATTCATTATACAGTTATACTATATTAACATTATAACTTATCTCGATATTAATATGTGATTTTACCTACCTCCTAAATAAGAAAGATGATATGATAGTACCATTCTTATAATATAACCCAATATTAATTCCTAAAAATTGATTAATCTTGTTTTTTTATATTTTATTTACATGCCTATTTAAACACTAAAGAAAACTCTAAATAACAAAAATAAGCTTTTTAAATCATCTCAAATCCATGTAGTAGCTTGTTAGTAATTTATTTTAACTATTAAAATTTTTTTAAAAAAATGTCTGAAAATAAGAAAAAAATAATAAATAGTAAAATAGAATCCAAAAAAAAATACTAAGTATATTAAAATTCATTAAATTATTAATCTGGATTCTTAGGTTTTTTTTTTTAATGGAAAATAGTACTTAGTACTTATCTCAATAACCTTTGACTCTTGTAAATGAGAGGATTCATACGATATTTATTATTTCTTTTGGTAAACTCTTGAAATATCAATACCTAATATCATCATCTCGTCCTCTCGTTCATGTGCTGTGTTTGTTGCTATAATTATACTTTGAGCAAAATCATCAATTTATCCTTATGAAATATATGTTTTATCAATCATATTCAACTTGTATAGAAAAATTAATTAATCATAAATTTTAGATTATTCGTATTTTTTAATATGCCTAATTTTCTATCAATATCACTATATGGTACGTTTTTAACTTTTTAAAATCATTGTAGATTAAGGTTTAAGCTAATGGCTCAACTTGTGTCTTATTAACATGATTGCATGAATAAAATAATGACAATATTACCATATAAGACATATAACTTTAAATGTAACTAAATAACAAATACGACAAGTAATAACATTGGTAAATACTTTCCTTTATCATGAAATGTGTTTGTAAATATAACTATCACAAACACATAATGAAACAAATGAGAAGAACAGAAGAGCGAATAGGAATTAGAACAAAATGGATGAATCTATTGGTGCGAAAAAGTTTGAGTATAAATTTTAAATGCTGATAACCAATTGTAAAATCGTTTGCTCTCATAACAAACTCAAACATGACAAATATAAATTCTATTGTGATTGTTGTGAAAATGCTTTTAAGAATCAAAATTATCTACAATAACATATCAATATTGATCATAATCACAAACTAACAAAACATATTTCAATTTGTTGCTAAAGATGAAATTTACATGAGTTAATTTGATTCTAGAATTCTGTCTCTCTTATCCAGCTAACGTACAAACATAGAATGAGGAGAAATGAGTAATTAAGAATTAGTTCAATCAATTAAAATGCTAGTGAGAAAAAGTTCTATTATATAGATTACTCAAAACACGTTATAAGTCAATGTTGATTGTAAGCACAAACTAACAAAATATAATTGAAGTTGTCACTAATGATCAAATTGACATGAGTTAATTCATATCAAGAATCATAAAAATTATCTATATTGTCCAACTAATGTCCAAACATAGAGTCATGAGAAATTGATTGAACAAGAATTAGCACAAAATGGTTTAAAAAGCTAGTGAGAAAATTTCTATTTTAGAACACAAGTTATATGTCAATGTTGATTGTGAGCACAAACTAACAAAATATAATTGAAGTTATTGCTAACTATTAAATTGGCATAAGTTAATTCATTTTTAGAATCATGAAAGTTATCTATGCTATCCAACTGACATCTAAACATTAGAATAAGGAAAAATGAGTGGGCAAAAATTAGCACGAAATGGATTAAAAATGCTAGGAAGAAAAAAATTATATTGTATACATTCCTCAAAACACATTTTATGTCAATGTTGATTGTGAACACAACTACAAAACATAATTGAAGTTGTTGCTAACGATTAAAGTGGTAGTTTCATAATTTCAAGATAGCACGAGCGTTACAATTAGCTTCAGGTCAAAACAATCATTTCCAAAGGTTGTACAAAGATATTTTAGTCATTTTTTTAAGAGTTTAGGCTTCTTCTTTTTTTACTACTCTTATCGTTTTTAATTATTCAAGATTTTTCAAATGATGAATGATATATTTTTGTAAACTTTTAAGTGTTATGATATGCTAGTGAGCAAAAGTTCTATTATATTTGAGCACAAACTAACAAAACATAATTGAGGTTGTTAATCAAATTGGCATGAGTTAATTTATTTTCAAAATCTTAAAAGTTATCTATATTGCCCAGTTGACATTCAAACATAGAATGAAAAAAAAAATGAGTGAAGAAGAATTATCATAAAATAAATAAAACTTCTAATAAGAAAAAGTTTTATTGTATACATTAGTCAAAACACACTGCATTTTATGATGTTGAAACTATTCAATTACAAAATAAAAGTCAAACAACACATTGAATATTTATATGATCATTGTTGTAATTTTTTGAAAATCAGAATTAAGGATTAAAAAACTAAGTCACTTAGTCATGAATTGTTATAGTTAGTGTAACTTATTAAAACATAATAATAATAAAAACAAATTACTTTAAACACCTTATAGTTAAAGTGCAAGAATACTTTGCACTCTATCTTTGTATAAATTACACTTTACACACTACGTATTTAAATTTTATTTTAAAATCCGTTAACATAGGCAAATTTCTAGCTAAATTAAAATTTTCAAATTATTAAAATTTTGTAATTAAATTTTTATAATAGTCAAAAAGCTCTTTAGAAGCATTTCTACTTTAAAAAAAAATACAAAAACTAAAATATCATTACATCTTTGCCTGGTCAAATTCAACTTATCCAACTAGCTATCAAATTTCTAGAGTAAAAAATTTAAAATAATGATAAGAAATTGTAGAAGAAAAAGAACATAAACAATAAATATTGAAGTCTAAACAAGGAAGAAACATACCCCTTCACAATCTATACAACAATTAATCATCTCCCAATAACCCCGAAATCATGCAGCTAAACATCAATCAAACACATAATCAATCACACTTCCATCTCCACCGTCACAACTAATAGCATAAACAATTTAAAAAAT